CCATTGCTGAGAATATGGAGATTTGCTAAGTTAGGCACACAGCTCTATGGCTCAAGCTTTGCTTTCAGTGGACAAATACACAACTTATTCCAAATACCTTCTGTATTCCAGCTTTTAGGTTAGCTTTGTTTTTATGAAGCAATGTTGAAGGTACTTTAATATAAGCTAACTCACAGGGGTTAAGAGAGATGTTTGGAAGAAAGTAAGACACCATGTGGGCTTCTCAAAGAAGAATCACAAAAAGCAAAACATACTCACGTGTGTGTAGACTCTTGAAGGGAGAGTCACCAATTTCACCTTTAAATATGGTGTCCTGGTCCAGCATGATGGCTCCGCAAGGGAAGATGCTTGCCTCCAAGTTTGGTGATCTGGGTTTGATCCTAGACACACATGGTGGAAGGAGAGAACTGACTCCCACAAGTTGTCCTCTGAATACCACGTGTGCTTTGTTGTGTGTTTCTGCACACACACACACACAATAATAGTTAAGAAAAAAATAAGTGAGTTTATCTGCACAGTTAAGGATCTGAAGAATATATCCACAGAACAGGTGGGTATTAGAGAAGCCAAAGGGCAGTGGGCACGGAGACAGGTGCAGGGCCATCTTCATTTATTTAGGAAGCTGTAGGCAAGACATGTTTTGAACACTCTAGAAGCCAAGATGAGATATAGGAATTTCAAGAAAGCCAGATTCCAACGCAACAGAACTTTTTACCAACTAGAACCATCAAAAAATGGTTTTCTTATGCCAGGGCTGGCTGCCCATCATAGACTTACTCCGCCAAGGCCATTTCTTGGCAGGGGAAGGAGATCGAGGGGACTCCTAGAGAGCAGAAGTTTGAGCCAATCTAAGACATTTCCAGAGTCTTTAAGAGCTTATAATCCAAGTTGTTGCAGATACATTGTGTTACTGAGTGTTACACACAGTGCATGTCCAATGCACTGCCTCCTCCATAGCGCTGAGCCAGCCACTTCTCTGAGCAAGCTCCTGGTTGCTGAGGAGCCATGTCTGGTCCAGCTGTACCCACATACTGGGGTCATAAAGTTAAGTTTTCCTGACAGAGCTAGGACTCAGGCTTCCGTAAGTATAAGCCATCCCCATGAACATGTGCATGGTCATCTTACTGCTCTTCAGATAAGCAGCTGGTAGAGACTGCTTGGTGCATCCCCTCCCTCTGCTTCCTTCTGTGGGAAAGCCTCTCTCTGCACAGCCCCCTCCCTACCAGCTGTTGGATGAGAAGCTAAAACATCATGAAGGCAGAGCGCGTGTCAGCCCAGTGTGGCAGGATGAGGAACTGGGAGAGAGAGGCCTTGGTTCACCTTCTTTGCCCTTTTCTCAAAGGGGAATATAGAACTCAGACCTTCCTCCTCAGGTCTCCATGTGAGACCTGACTGTCCTTGCCCACTTGGATGATCTCAGTAATCAGGATGGCAGTGTGATTGATAGTGGAGCTGGTGCCCGCAGTAGCCAGTGCCAAGGAACTCTTACTGTTCAGCCTCTGCTCGTCTCTTTATGGGGATCACCTCAAAGAACCCTCAGGACCCTACAGGGTTACTGGAGTCTAGATGAGGAAACCCAGGCCTAAGGCAATGAAAGGACATGTTTAAGGAGGTTCAGATTCCACGGCATCAGCTAGCTGTTCTGCTGTAGAGAAACGTAATTCCAGGGACCAGTAAGATGGTTCATCGGATAAGTGTGTTTCCCATGCAGGCCTGGTGACCTGAGTTTGACCCCTAGAACCCAAGTGGAGGTGGAAGGACAGACCTACTCTACAAGGTTGCCCTCTGACCTCCACACCTGCTGTGTGACATTCAACACATGAACATACACACGCAATAACAGTAAATAAGGTGGTTTTTGTTGTTGTTGTTTTAAGAAGCAAGAACTCAGAAAAGAAAGTGGCCTCCTACTCCTGGCCCTTGTTTTAGGTCTCCTCACCAACTTGAGGAGGTGTGGGCATACCAGCTCTGTTCCAGGTCCTTCTCTACATTACTGTCATTGAACCTTTATGATATCAGAGCAAGGGAGGCAGGTGCGACAGTGTGCATTTTGCAGAGACACCCAGGGACTCGCTCAAGGTGACCTGGTACCCAGGCTGGCTAAGGCTGCAGACTCTGCCCCTCGCTGAGGGAATAGCACTGAACACCCTTCACAGACACTAAATTTATATTTCCTGGCCTCCCCTTCCAAAATGGATACACTAATTGCAGACTTTTTTTTTAATAGTAATCATCAAGAACACATTTCTTTAATGTTTGCGTTTTCTATTCTGCATAATGCCAAAATAAAACATCGATCAAATCCACAAGCTCAAACCCAGTATGGCCATATAAATTAGGAAGGGTTAGGAAGACATTACACTAAACGGAAAGAAAAAAGTGTTGATTAGGGACTTATTTTTGTATGAGATTAAAATGTGAATCGTTAAAATAGGACTATATTTTGGGTTCTGCGTTCCCTTCTCGTCAGAGCCATAGCAATGGCTCCTGGATTGGAGCACTGAAATCCTTCCCAGCTCTGAAACCTGGTACCCAGTACAGGTTCTACTTTCCCACAGCATTTCCAAAAGGGTGGTCAGAGCTCCTTTGTATACGCCTGCCTGTCCTATCTTAAGAAAATCCCCTCCAGACTGGTGTCTTAGTCTTCATTTAATCCTAATTGTAAGTGGCAGCAGTTAGCTGCACCACCAGTAACCAAAATTCAAAGATGGGGGATAGAATGAGTAGCATGGAGCTAGGGAAGTTCCTTGGTGCATGGGGGGGTGGATACTTGGGAAAGAGTAGCCACCTACAGAACTTGATTTGGTACAGGGGGTGGTAGTAGATACGTTTGCACTCGTGGAGTATTTTTGCAGTTCATGCTCAGTTTGGAAGAAAAAATAGCAATATCTACAGCCCAAAATGCACAGTTAAATTAAGTTGTTAATTAAAGTGTCTTTAAAAATGGCTAAGATCAGAGACAAAGGCCCATTGTTTGGTACAATTGTTGACTGCATGTCTCTGTATAAGGTAGAGTGTGGGGGGGACAGTGAGGCCTGTGGTGTTTTTAAAAATTAATCCCCCATCCTTACAGAGTTCCAAAGCACCCCCCTGCATTGTGAACTTGGATCAAAGCCAGAGAGGGGTAGAACCAGTTCGTGATAGGATTTTTTTTTTTAACTAATGACCTACTCAGTAGACACTTCAAATACCAAGTGTACAGCACCCACCATTCTCTCCAAGCACTGACTTGTCCGAGGTAATTTTGTGGAGCTTGTATGACCTTGGAGTGATGCCTAGATGTATTTTTAAAGAAGAGATGACCCCATACTGTCCCAGTTCTTTATAGAGAGTGGCCACTTCTGACCAACACCAAACGAGAAACTTGTTTCTTAACACCCCCAACCCCAGCCTGGGCACCGAGTGAGAGAGATGTATTCTTCCCCCTACGAGAAGCTTTTGTTGTTGTTGTATGAGATTGGATCCTGCTGTGTAGCCCAGGCTGGCTCAGCCTCCTACCACAACATGTAGCTGCTAGGAGAAATTTCTATCAAGAATCTGTGAGCCGTTTTGCACATTTAAAATGTAGCTACCGAAGGATGTCATTTTCTTTGAATAATTCTGAAGTGCAAGCAGAGAGAGATGTTAAAAGGGTATTTTTACAAAAATAGGAAGACGTTGAGACAGTTTAAATTTCCCCTGGCTCTGGGATCATCCTCTAATGGGCTCTCATCACCAAGCAGCAGTTCAGTACAGTGTCATTTCAGTAGCCTAAAACGTCAGTACCGTGGGGGCATCTTCAAAATCTAATGTAGTTCTGGACCCTTTGCCTGTACCAAACTGATCCATGAGTCCCCCTCTGGAGGGTCTATAGTGTTATCCCATCTGTTGTTTAGATGTTTTTATTTAGACTGGGTATGTTTGACATTAAACAATATATTGTTGAGAGGGGCGTGGGCAAGGAAGGTGGCTCATTGGGTGGAAGGATGTGTCTCACAAGCCTGACATCTTGCTTGAGTTTCATTCCAGGGACACACGTAAAGTAGAAGGAAAACCCGACTTCACAAAGTTGCCCTCTGACCCACGCACACATACACACATACGCATACACACATTTTGTCTTCGGTGCTTTGCCTGAGTGTATGTGTGTGCAGTACATGTGTGCATAGTGGCCACAGAAGTCAAAAGAGGATGCCAGATCTCCTGGAACTGGAGTTACAGGAGGTTGTGAGCCACCATGTGGATGCTAGGAACAGAACCCGGGTCCTCTCTCTACAAGAGCAACAAGTGCTCTTAACCACTGATCCATCTCTCCAGTCTGAAAACTTTTTTTAGTATATTACTCTTTTTTACGTTTACTTTTTGTTGTTGTTGTTGTTGTTGTTGTTTGAGACAGGGTAGCCCAGGCTGTCCTCAGGATGGCCTGGACCACCTGCAGCTCTTGCCTCTACCTCCCAAGTCCTGGGATCAAACATGTGCACCACAATGACCTGCTCTTGTTTTTAGCATTTAGAAACAACTTTGTAGAGATCTGACAAACCTACAAGAACTATATAAAGTATATAATTTGATCAGTTTGAAGATAACTATATATCTATGATATCATCACCATAATAAATGTAATGTCCATATCCACCACCTCAAATTTTCTCTTATCATCTTTATTATTATTATTATTAGTTTAGTTACAAGAACATTTTCCCCAACATCTTTCCACTTAGCAAACTGTAAGTGTACCATGCAGCATCGGTTACTTGACAGCACCCTCTGCTGGCCTCTTCAGGACCCACATATACATGGCGCAGACACATACACATAAATCAAACTAAATCGTATAATAATAATCTTTAAAAACCACACAACCCTGATAGGTTATGCCTCGTCCCTGTCATGGGTCAACAATCTATTCTGTTAATTAACATTATTTCCTTCCTCTGTGGCTGTCACAGCTCCGCAGCTCCTTCTGTAGCTATTAACTAAAGCATCCCATCTCTGTATTTCTCGTTCCATTTTCCCTCCAGGCGATGTGCTCTATGAACTCCTTCAGCATATTCTGAAGCAGAGGAAACCTCGAATTCTCTTCTCGCCATTCTTCCACCCTGGGAACTCTATCCACACGAAGCCAGAGGTCCTACTGCATCAGAACCATGAAGAAGGTACTGGAAGACACTTCTCTTTGCTTGCCTGCACTTTAGACACACTAAGGGGTTGAATAGTTAACTGATAAGCTGTTCTTACTGCTGTAAATTCATTCTTCATTCAGGAAGCATGGATTGAGTGCCTACAGTGTGCATACACTGGGGGAGTTGCCTGGATGAGTAAGGCATAATCCCATTAGCTCTCACTAATGTAAACACTGATTACAATAATATACACAGGGGTGTAGCATGAGGGGAGATGACTCCCGGGTACAGCAAGCAAGTTCACCTTTATAAAAGGAGGAGTCTGGAGGAGTCCTTGATGGTTCTGGTAAACAGCAAGAACATTCCAGTTAGGTAGGGCAAGGCCTTGGAATAAGAGAGCAGTAAGATGACTTGATTGGCGAGCCCATTCATCATAAACATTTTCAAATATATAATCCATATAGAATAAAATCCATATAGAATTAAAAAAAAGCTGTGTAAGCCATTTATCACCCTGCTTCAGCAATGATAAACATTTTCCACTATAGAACTAATCTACGGAGGTTAGCCCGGAACCAGAGTGTGGAGAACTGAGATTCTGTGGCTGTGGAGAGAAGTAACAGCAAATTGTTCATTGAAGATGTTTGAGGAAGGTGTTCATAAAGGCTGAGGGAAGTTGGTGTTGGGTGGGGCTTTCTCCATCATGCATCAAAGACTATTGGCTGGAGTGAGCTCAATGTGGAGACTCCTGTCATAGTTGCTGTTATTTGTGGGACCCACACAGCCAGAAAAGCATTAGTAGATAGCTCAAGACCATGAAGTATAGGGTCCTGGTCAAGCAGGTGTTGGGTGTAGGGCTATAAAATGTGACTTTGTGCACAATGCCACTGAACAGCGAGCGGGTTGTGTGTTAGCGTTTGAGCAGAATCACATTTCCCAGGGCCATCAAGCCATCCCTCCCTCCCAGTCCAGCAGGCAGCCAGTATGCAGATACTGTGAACACCACAGTAGGGACTTTTCTTTAAAAGTCACTTTCAAGATCCTATTCCTTAGGAAATTTTGTTGACTAGTGAATCATTCCCAAACACGGGACTGCTACTTTTCTTTTGCAGTCAGACAGTTAAAAACTTGCAGTTGGTATTCTCTTAATTAGCACTTTACAAAAAAGAGCCTGACTCCAGGTGGGGGAGGGGGGCTTGTCTCTCAGCAGGTTCTCTCCAGCGTATGAGATGGAGAATAATGCCAGCATTTCTGGCATGCTCCTGCTTCCATCCTCTCCTCTCCTCCAGTAACCCAGGCTAAATTTAGCAACTGTCCCTTCCCCTCAATTCGGATTTGATGTTCCTCTGCTCTTCTGGCCTTTCTCATTTCCGGTTTGCATAATAACCAGGAGCCACTCCAGAGAAGAGGAGGTGGGCTCACTGAAGCTTGACCGTAAGACGGGCATTGTGTTATCAGCCTGGCTCTTCAGACACACAGCGTATGGGATGGGGTCCCCCTCTTTCTTTCTCTTGCTAGTTAAAATTATTTATTTTTCATTTGGAATTTCTGTCCCCATTTTCTTCTCAAATGTGGTTGAAGGCACGTGGTTCCTTCCTACTTGCTCAGAAGTAGGTGTATGTGTGTGTGTGGTGGTGGTGTTGTTATTGTTATGTGCAGGGGCTAATCTTTCCTAGAGAAAGCTGGCTGACTCTGAAACTTACCCTCAAACCAAGTAAGTGGAGGTGTGTCACATCATGCACCCTGATGAGCTGTGCATGCATGCACTGTGATGTCAGTGGTGAACTCAACCACTAAGAGAACAGAGCTAATGAGGCCAAGGTCAAGGGCTTCATAACCCTGCAGATCATGTAGATACACTTCAGAACCAGCTCTTAAAAGTACCAAGGGCATCCACAGAGACCATTCCTTGATGCTATTGGTCAGGAAGCAAGATCTGAGGGGCTCTTCCCTCCCCCATTGTCTGTTCGGACACCCTGCCAGTCTTAGATGGACAAGCGACACCATCTGTAACCAGGTGGTGTCAACGGAAGGAGCCGTGTGAGACACAGGTGTGACAGGAAGAAGCTACCTCCTGTTTCATACTTTCAGAATAGTGGCTTGCCCTCCCCACCTCCAGCCTCTTTCATTCCTTCTCAAAAAAAGAAAAGAAAAAAACCAAACCAAGTTCAGCACACAGTGTCTCAAGAATTAAAACAGTGCTATTTGTGAAGGCAGTAGATCAGCTAATGGCAGATGAGGATACATCAATATATGCTAAAATATGGAGAGATCTGGCCCAAAAGAAAAATTTCTGTAAGATGAAATTACACACACCAAATTTTAAACAGAGTTAAGGATACACAGAATTATATTGGCCCAAGACTACTTATGTTTGCTACTGACTTGGCTTGAGTGTGTGTTTGTAGGTAAAAGCTGAGTATTACTTACCAAAATGTTTGGAATCAGAAGTGGTTTGCATTTCAGGTTTTATAATATTTACAGAAATATATGATATCTCAGGATGGGACCCAAGGCTATCCATGAAATTCATTTGTTTTGTATATACCTTATACCCATGGTTTAAAGATGATTTTTATGGGATTTTTAAAGTTTTAATTTTCTACAAATTACCAACATGCCTATGTTTTGAATGTGACCAGCCACCCATGGTCAGGTGTGGGATTTGACACATGTGACATCATGTGGACTTTGAGGTTTCAGACCTTAGAGCGCTTCAGAGCTCAGGTCTTGGGTTAGAGATGCTCGGTGTGTGTATATGAATGGCAGGCCAGAAAGAGGCGAGGCGCTCGCTCAGTGTCTGCTTCAACAAGAACCCCCCTGCGGCTAAGCATCCTGACACTGAGAGTGCAGAGACACAAGCACAAGGCTGCCTTCACCCTGTGACCTCCCTTCACCCCAGCCACCTGCTGAGCCACTTCAGATACCGATCATTTCACAATGGGAATTGATATCACAGAACAAACAAACGCATCTCATTTGATCTATCCATGGCTTCCCCACAAGTGTCCCCTGGGGGTCCTTTACACTGAAGCCTCACCTTCCCCTCTGTATGGCAGCGCCAGCTGTGAGGAGCCTGGAATTGGCTTAGGGCGTCCCCTCCTGCTCTGGACAGGGTGGTGGCCACACAGAGGCAAACAGTCTCCACAACACACCTTCTGAAATCCTGTCAGGACTTGCGCAGAGCAGTCATCTAGAACACTGTTTCCACTCCTTGTTTATTAGTTATGGAAGAAGAAGGTGAAATATTATTAGGTTAACTATACAGTGTCTCTTGCGTTATTGGGATACTTAGGGTCAGCACTCGCTAATGAGTAAGCCAAGGCAATAGGCATAAACCAGAACCACTCCAGATGTGTGTGTGTGTGTGTGTGTGTGTGTGTGTGTGTGTGTGTGTGTGTGTGTGTGTATTTTTATTTTTAAAGAACAGGACGTAGAAGTCAAGAAAGGAGGCTTTAATCCCCAGTCCTGCCAGAACAAAACAGGTCAAGTTTCTCATTTCACAGACCCTCCGTTTTCCCCTGTTGTGAGAAAGGAGGTTAGATTACATGGTGCTTAAAGGTCCCTCACGCTTTCAAATCCTAACATAGCCAGGCAGTATGGAGATAAACAAGACACAGACTTCACCCTCAGGGTCTTAGGCAGTTAAGACACAGGAAGCCAGGACAGAGTCCCACTTGGTGCTGCCCAGGAACAGAAAACCATGGTCTCAGTTGGCCCTCCTCGGCATCAGACAGTAGCCTCATTCACCTGAAGTGAGAAGTGCAGTTTCAGAAGATTCCTTTGCTGACTGTCATGACTCACTGTACCTGTAGCACATGAATTCGATAGTAGGTAGGCGGTGGTATAGAAGGGAGACAGCGTAATCGATGCTGCTGCCACTTGCACAAGAACCAGCAAGCAAACGCATCTTTAGATGATTTGGACCAGCAGATGACCATAAAATAAATCTATCTTGTTACATTCAGTTGTGATATTTTAAGGCTGTAGTTTCCAAAATCAGCCTAATATCCCATGGAACTAAAAGTAACAGATTGCTACTCTTTCCAAAGAAAGGCTCTGTCCCCGTGTACATGCAATTGACACTGGTCCCCTAAAAGCTCCTTAAGTCATATTAAAATAAGCTGCCAGTCTGGGCTGAAATCCAAGTGGGGTTAGCTCTGCCGAGTGACCCCTGTAGAACTGGTCGACACAGTCTATAGGGAGAAGGAAAAAGATCGGTTTCTCTAATGTTCTTTCTCCATCTCCCCGCCCCCTCTTATCATTTAAACTCTGAAGTTTCACTCTTTCCTGAGATAGTGAGAGGTAGGGGTAGTTTTTAATCACACCATTTGAGCACAACCCCCCACTCAACACACTCGAGCTCGCGCGCGCACACACACACACACACACACACACACACACACACACACACACACACTGCTGATGGTTTCTGTGCTGGTGAGTGAAGTATTGAGGGATGGATGCTCTCATGGCAGCTTTTTGTTGCAAGGTGCGTGTAGAATTCTCCAGTCCTGCTGAGAATTTCCACACATCAAAACACTGTCTCATTTTCCCTAGCAGCTAGCACATGAGAACAACCCAGAACTTAGAGGACAATCATCTCTTTTTGGAGGGACAAGAGGGTGGCGTGCATTCTAATTTGGCCCACTGAAGTTTCATTTGTGTGGGCTCTTTCTTGAGGGGAATATTACTCCTCCCTTCAGTACCAAACCCAGGTGCCCACGGCCTGCTTTGGAATCATACACAACTCCAGTGAGATAATTAAAAATGAGGCTCAGGATAGTTTTTATTGAGTCCTGCTACATGTCAGCCCTCCTAAGCACTTAAATGTTCAAATCGTCTGCTCTGCACAGACATCCTAAAAACAAGTGACATTATCCTAAATTTGTAGATGAGGAAATAGAGACCAAGAGCAGCTAAGTAATATGCTCCCAGGAAGCCGGGCGGTGGTGGCACACACCTTTAATCCCAGCACTCGGGAGGCAGAGGCTGGCGGATCTCTGTGAGTTCGAGGCCAGCCTGGGCTACCA